TTTGGGAAATCCACCTCTTCCCCAGCTATGGGTTAAATAGCAGAACAGATTAAGTCTTATAGTTTTGGTTGGCAACCAGTCTACTGCAGAAAGTAACAGCAGCCTATTGTGGGTATTCTTCTGCTAAGTCAATCACAAATTTAAGAGAGACATGTTCACCCAAGCATGCATCATGCATTGCACCTCAGGAAGGAAGAATTGGCTTTTAAAGATATGACAGGTGGGAGAGCAGCTTTAGTTAAATATAACCTCCATTCATTAATTAAATTTAGCATCATTATTTTCATTAAAATTTCCCTGAGATGTGTTGTTTTGCTTTAAGAAATAATGCCATAAAATAATAATAATATATAGTAGCGGTGACTCTGACATATTTCATCTAGAGTAAAATCATGCTTATTTCTTCTGTGTTCCAAATTTAAGGAGAAGGTCTTACTTAGACAGCTTTTTCCCAAGACCTAATATATGGGACAGACTCCTGTGTGGATACTTCCCTGAACACTACAATCATAACCTCTTCAAGTTAAGGATCATTTATTATCTACGCTCCTAATATTCATTTCCTATTATCTCCTCTTTCATTCATACCACACCTTATTCATTATAAGATTTTTGACAGTAACCCTTGAGCATAAGTGGTTCTTGGGTCTTGTGTTGGGTGAACTTCAGTGTGTAAAAATAAAGTTTTGCCTAAAGGTTACAAATGAAGACTGAATTCATTATTCAATTGGAATGATCAACTGGACTAGCTTGGTACCTTCCCCAGCATTTTTGTTGATTTTATTTTACTAAAGATAACAAATAAATCAATACAGCATTTTGTCTTGATGTAATTCTGTGCATAGAAAGAAGTCTTGCAGTTTTCCTAATCTGATTGGCTCACAAATAACATGTGATAACAACCCAAGCACTGTGGGGCATCCATCTTGTTCATCTAATATCTACTTATGTAAAAAATTAATCATGTAAGGAGTAAGAAACATAAGTGACTAGCATATATCCCAATTCCTGACAATTCAACAAATAACTTGCATTTTTTCTTCTTTGCCTTATACATAATTAATATTGTGGATCATGAATCCAATCAGTTTTTCAGATTTTGTGCTAATCATATTTTAGCAATTTTTTTTTTTTATTGAATTACAAGGCCAAATCTTTTTTTTTTTTAATCCATGGCTAGATGAAAGAGGGGATTTAGAGAGACAACCTAAAATGGTTGTAACCCAAAGTTAGAGAGTTCACTCTACCCTGCTATTTTACCCATACCTGGGGTGAGAAGAGATGGATTTATCATTTTTACAAAGACATTAGTGTGAAGTGAACACTGGAATCTGAACTTGACAATTCCATTTTCTGTATTGTTAACCATTGGGTCACCTGCACGTCCTGAATGTGGCTGAATATTTGGCTTAACAAGTTTAGCTCCCCAAAGAACTTCTACTAAATTGACATTTTTATATGCTGTGTCCTTTCAGGATTTGGATGATCCCTATCCTTTGTTTCTCTAAACAATGGTAAGAAACATTAGTAATTGTTGTAACCTCAGAAGGGTTACTGAATGGAGTTTGGAAATGAAATGGTAATCTTTATAACATCAACAAAATACAATACTCACTAGTGGTGTGAAGTAGGTAAACCACTGCTAGTGGTGGACTATTTAGACAAGCATATTACCCCCACTTACAACAGCAGATATCTCTCCAAGTAACCCCCCCCCATAGAAGAGAACATGACTAAAGACTGTGTGTACACTATCCCGTGCAGCTGCGGAAAGAAATATAAAGCGGAGACAGGCTGCCCCCTTAAGGTAAGGCTTCAAGAATACCAGAGAGCTGTAACACGAGGGGAAGTAGAAAAAGCAGGCATGGCTGACCACATATGGAGAGAGAAGGGGATCACCGTCCTCTGTGGGATCAGGTTGAGATCATAGACAAGGAACACCATTGGAAAATTCATAAACTTAAGGAATTGGCACATATGCTAGGCCACAAAAATCTCCTGAGCTGACCAAGCATAGAAATGAATACAATATGGGAACCAGTAATAAGGAGTGCCAGAGAAAAGCAATAATAACAACAAAAGTTGCAATATGATCTCTGGTAAAAAACATGGAATGATAACAGCAAAAAATTACAATATGAGCACTGGTAAAAATAGTTGCTGAGACATTAGGTTTATAATACCCAGAAATTCATACCCAGATGTCTTAAAGGACATATGGCACAGTGGTGTTGGTTAGATCCAGTGACAGGACCAAAAGAGTGTGAGTTCAATACCTGGTTAAGGCAGTGGAGAACTTTCAGAGGGAAATTAACAGGAGATAACTGAACTACCCCAGGGATCAGTTCGACATTCCAATCACAGCTGAAACATTGTAATAAATATGGTGACAAAGATGAGGACAATAGTCTGAATAATGTAAATAATGTATATATCTCATCTCAGAAATATAGATAGATAAAACTTTGCAATAACAACAACAAAGATAAAGACATTATCTGAATGTAAATACTTATAACTCCCTATTCCAGAAATTCAGACAGAAATTTTCTGGAATTTTTAAGGAGAGTTTAATAAATAAGTTTATTTCCATAGCTTTTCCAGCAAGCTGTCATAACCATTTGATCATGGCTAAAAAGGCATTTTGCAAAACCTTTTTTCCATTACTGTCAACTAATTTGCTATACACTGTTTTGCTGTCTACAGAGTTTTTTGGATAATTGAAAAAGAAATGATAAAAATCTTTGTTTCCAGGATTAGCGACTGCCATTACAATGAATACCAAATGTCTCAAATGATTGTCTTTGTAAAATGATCCCCGGGGTCATGGCTGCAATCTCTTGTTGCTAGGATACTGGATTACTGCAGGTTTGTGTTGAGGAGAAAGATGAGTGGATTGTTATGGTTTTTAAGAACAGATATTTTTATCTATAAGAAAACAATATCTATCCACAGTGTTTAAAAATGTAAATTATTAAAAAAAAAAAATAATAATCATACTCTGTGCACATCATTCAAAGAGGAAAATTAATTTTGTTAATATTTCTATATTTATTTGCATCATCTTCAGAATTGTTTCTACCTGCACACAATATGTGTTCAAATTGTGTGTAAGTATATTGCATTCACTTTCATGCCAATGTCTTTAGAAAAGGAATAAATCTATCCTTTCTGCCCCCAGCTATGGGTAAAATAGCAAGGGCAGCTGGGCCCTCTAACCTTGGGTAGCAACTAGTCTAGGAAAAAGAAAACTCTAAATTCCAAACTGGAGAAGCAGGAGGAAACCACTGTATTATCTTGCCTGAGAATGTATTGCAATTCAAAGAAAAGGAATCTGTGGAGAGTCATAATTGCTTATGCCCTGAAGAGACATGGGGAGTGGGTAAATTACCTTAGGTAATGGCACCTGAACTAAGGTAGTTTACTCCTCCCATCCCCATCTCTCTTCAGGATGTAGGCAATCCTTCAAATTTATAATTTCAGGACTTCCACATTTAAAACAGTCTACAAAGTTCTCTTTTGGGATTGCTATCATTGCCATGGTGGAGTAATGGATAGTGGCTTGGATTGAGGAATCAAGGAGCAGAGTTCAAATTCCAGTCAAATCCATTACATTCATTAACATGCTAATATCCTTGGTAAAGGTATGAATTCTCTTCTTCTCCCTCCAGCTATGGGTAAATAGCAGGACAGGCTAGGTTCCTTAGCCTTGGATGGCAACTGGTCTACTGCAGAAAGAAATGGCAACCTACTGCGGAAAAAAATCTGCTTTGTCAGTCATGTATCAAAAGATACATGATCACCTAAGTGTGTATCACGCATGGCACATAACTGACTGATCATTGCCTCATCACTTTCTTCTTAAACTTGCCCATAGCATTTCAATGTCAATTTTAGCCTTTAGCAAAGACTGGAAAGCATAAGTTTGTGGTGATGGTACTGACAAACCTGGCTGAGACAGTGTTTTGTCAAACATCCCTGTATGAGAATGCAATGGTCACACAGATCACAAACTTATTAAGTGGCATTTCACTGCTGACTGAGTAACCTTGCAGAAGAGTATCTGTTCATGCATGTGTACTAAGGTCCTCTTAGATTGGTTTCCAAATTACAACAAAGTTGTGTAATTGGTTCTTGAAGTTTTCAAGATTACTGAATATTTTCTGGATACACTGTATATCAGAATGAAAATAGGCATGAAAAATACAGGTAATTTTTGTCTGAATTCTTTTAACGAATCTAATCTTTATTTTACTGTGATTTACCCTAGCTAATATCTTTATCTGGACTATCATTGTCATCATATTTTAGCTGCTGTATTTTCCAGCCTTTCTCAGACAGCTGTCATAGTTGATAACCTTCTATGAATTTTGAGCTAAACACTTTATTCAATCCATGGAGATATATTATTCTCATTTCATACAAAGAAAATCTCATATTGGTTAGTTCTTTCTGGTTAATGGATAGTGAAAGAAGAAGAAGAGTCTATCCTTTATTGATTTTTGAAAGGATTTGGTTTGAAATTCCTAGAAGGTTAATAATTATCAGAGACATCTGAAGAGGACAAAAACTTATGATGCCCTAAAAACTATTATAGTAAGAATCAAAATAAGGACACTCATATCTGGGTTTGTTTAAAATCACTCATTTAATGACATTATTTTCCCTTAACTTTTTCTAAAAAAAAAAAAAAAGAAAAAGTGGAAGTCATTTATAGTTTAATAACATTGTGAATAGAGCACTATGAGTAAAGTCTTTAAAAAAAAAAAAACAAATATGTATCCTGTCTGTATTCAGTGAGCATTGATAAAAATTACAGTCTGAGTGCCTGTGTACATAGACATATAAATCTCTGCATTTGCTAATTTAAAAACAAATTTTTCTTACAGACTTGATTAGGAAGCAGCAAAAAATTTGGAACTTTCTTAAAGCTGTATGAGACCCTGAAAAATGTTTTGTTTCAATTATTTTATGACAAGGTCGTCTCATCTCTGAAGGCTTATGGTCAAATCATGCTGAAAATATTGCTTCTTGTTTGATTACTGAAGTTAAGCAGTGTTGAGCCCAGTTAGTACTTAGATGGGGGACCACTTGGGACCACTGGGTATTGTAAGCAAAAAAACAGGTACAAAGATGTTTGGACATGTGGTTAGAAATTTCATGCTGTAAAACACTGTATACTGTATGTAATTTACTACAATCCCAAATTTAAATAACCCACAAAGCGTTGATAAACCATAAAACACAAATCAATCAATCCTCTCTGAAGTCTTTTCTTGCAAATAAATCATTCATTGACACTTTATATGTTCATGAAGATAAAAAAAACAAAAGAACAGTCTTGTGTCATTACTATTGTGATAGACAACTCATTGGAGGAAACAAATAATCCAGATATAACAGTGGTTTGCTATTGCCTATTATCAGTTTTAAAGTTATTAATTAATATACTGCAACTACATTTTTATGTTGATTGCTTTATTTTTCAGGAAATGCGTAAATTGAAGTTTTGGTATGTGGAGGGAACTGAGTACCTTGATCAGGTTACGAGAGCCTACGATTTCTTCAAAGAACTTATCAAGCCAGATGACTTACCAAGAGGTACTGTGACATTCCTTTTAGACATTTCTCTTATCACCATGTATTTCTGAAGAATAATGCTTTAAAAGCTCTTAGGGAAAACCGTCTTTGTAAATAAAGTAAATGTTAAATATTAAGAAAGAGAGCATTAATAGTAAATAAAATAAAGTTTAAAAACTTATCTTCTTGATTTCAAGTTTTGCAGATGTAATCCACTTATCAATGGTTTGGAGAGTACAACTGAATTTATTAAAATATGTTATATCTTTTAAGCAATATATTTGTTAATAAATTCAACTATCAAACCCACTGGGTAGATCATATCTGAAAATTTAAGTCAAAAAGATATTGATTTTTTAAAATTTTATTTGTTTACTATATATATATATATATATATATGGACTCTCCTGTCATATTTGATGTATGAGGGTCAAGCAACTTGGTTACTACAAACTGCAGAACCAACCACACTTTTTGAAGAGCTGAATACAGGGACCTGGTGCACTACGTACCACAAGGTTCCTAAATGACCCTCCGTAGGTTTTGAGTTCAGAGTTTTCCTTCTCCTAGACCAGTTGCCATCCAAGGCTATAGAAGCCAGTCTATCCTGCTATTTACCCATAGCTGGGGGAGAAGAGGATTAATACCTTTCCCAAGGGTATTAGCACATATGTAAATGTAATGGATTTGACTGGAATTTGAACTTGGCTCTCGGATTCTTCAATCCGAGATGCTATCGATTACTCCACCGTGTCATAACATATTTATATTATATATATAAATATGTTATGACATTTAAAGGTTATTTTTAGTGGATACTTGTATTTGAGTAGATGCTATGTTTATTTATTAAGCAGTATATTTATTTTCCTCTACTGGCCTGAATATTTGAGAAATCTTATTAAAGAAGAATATGCTGTTCAACCAAAATTAATAAATATACTGTTAACTCAAATTGTGTATCTATTAAAAATAATGTTTAAATTGATAAAATCTGTCAGATTAATAAATAAAACATATATATATATATATATATATATATATATATATATATATATATATATATATATATTTTTCATGCTTAAACACAATGGCCTGATGATTGTGTTTAAGCATGAAATGAAACATCTTTTGCTCGATGCTGACCTCAATGTGCATTTTATATTTACATACCATCTATCTTTGATATCATGCACCTTAACTTGTATACCTTGAAACTATGTTTTTTATTGTGTGTGTGTATATATATATATATATATATATATATATATAAAAAAAAAAAAAGCAAAACATTTTTTTTTATAATGTGGATTTGTTTTAGTGTATATATATATATATATATATATATTATTCTTCATAATAAAATATAATATATGTACTAAAACAAATCCACATTATAACCAAAAAACGTTTGCAGTTTCTCTTTTAAAAATATACATTTTTCTCTTGGAACAACTATTACTATATATATATATATATATATATATATATATATATATATATATATATATATAAGTTCTTTTTGTCCCACCAATAAGCACTGAAATTCTCATGTTTTGCCAGATATTGGAAAGTCAGTTAGACCTAAAACTTTTAAGCATCCTCCTATATATATATATATATATATATATATATATATATATATATATATACTGCAGTTATATATAATTTTCTGTAATTGTACCAGATTGATCCCCACAATTCACAGAATATCGGACATATTTACCAGACATTTGATTTGTTTTTTTGTTTGTTTTTTTTTTTGTTTTTTTTGTTTTTGTTTTTTTCCTCAATCTGTCTGTACAGATGCTGACATTTCTATTCAACTGAGAATTGTACAGTTTTTCTCTCAAGTTCATTGATTTCTCATTTGAACCATGAATGCTCTGCCTTTATCTGTTTTGGGACATTCAACTGAATTCTCTGACAAAAGAAAACTGTATTTTACTTTTATTGAAGTCAATCTAAAAAGATGAAAGCCAATGGATCACTCATGAATATCAATAATTCATAGCATTCTCTTGACACTGATAACTTTGCTTTCACCATGAACACATTGGCCCTCAGAAGAGAACTTTGCTTTTTCTCTTCAAATCAATTGTTCTGGTTAGCAATGTAGAGAAATTGATGTTGGGCTTCACTTAGAGATTATCTCCACTTGTTTGATTAATATGTAAGGAGAAGTTAATGCTTCTAGGGTTAACAGCAGATTTGCAAAATTTTCATTTATTATTTTTATTATTGATGCAAATCTTATTGACTGGTTTTATTTGGCAAGAACATAATTATTGTGTAGAGAGTTTGGTAGTAAAATCAATGGCTGGATAATACTACTTCTGTTTCATAATGGCTGTGACATTTAATATATGAAATGTGTATCCAAATGTAACAACCATCGTGAGACAAGGGTAGATGTAAGTTTTTATGTGATTCACTAAATATCATGAAAAAAAAAAATTTTTATAGGCTTATGTATTGTTATATGCAGTGGCGTAGCTAGAGTAAACATTGCCCAGGGCGGTCCGCTCAAATGTCACCCCAATGACCCCGATTCACTCTATGCTGAATGGTTAGCTGTAGCTAAATTTTCATACATGCTCTACCTCTACTTTACTCTACTGACCAGTACGTTACTGCTTACATGTATGATCCAAGATAAAATCCAATACAACAAAATAATCAGTTCAAATCAAAAGCTGAAAACATTGCTATTTTTCCTACTCACAAATTTCCTGACAGTTTATTAGAAAATTTCTGACAAGGGGACAAAACTGGGGGGTCATATGCCAGCCTGCAAAACCCTGTGTCTCCATCACTGTTTTCAGACTATTTTTGGCACCTTAGCCTGGTTGAAAAATTTTGTTGGGGGTGACATTGTGTCACCCCTCCTGGCGGCCTTTGTTCAGTGTAGAGTTTAAAGGATTTCTCTTTTGTATAAAATATAAAGTGGAACAAATATGAATTTTTATACATTTCATTATAACAATGCTAACATGTCCTGGGTATTGATGATAAACTACATCCGGCAGCAAGGCCTCTGATTGGGTGGTTTTGAGGAATGTGGAACCATCTCTTAATTGCTATTGTTCCCAGATCCGCCCTGAACCAGGGTGATAGCACCTGTTAGGGTTTCAACTATGGGCAAATAGTCAACCCCCAAACTGGTATATAGGTCCACCACCAAAACTCTAGATGATCAGAGATTGGCAACTGATCTCTTTTGACTGAGCTCTAACAGCTCAGTGAGGGTAAAAACTGGTTGGTCACATTTAAAGCCTTGAAAATCAAACTAGTGATGTTCCATCATCACCAAGTGAACCCTGAATTTTTACCTCTCTTAAGGAGGCTCTGTGCCCTGAATGCATTTTGGGACTTAAGCTCAACCCTGACCTCAAGTGAAAGTCGTACATATGATCCATTGCTATAGATGCTGAAAAAAATGGTCAGTTTACTGTACTACTCCAGTAAGTACATGACTCCTGCTATCATTTAGCTTTACAAGAGCCAAATCATGATGAAAATGGAATACTGCTGCCATATATGCTACCCAGTTTTCATTTTCCAGTTTTGATAGTCCTAAAGTGTCATCACAGCCTTGTGGGTGATGAATTATTTTCTGCCCTACAACCCCTTTCCCTATAGACAAAGTATCACAAACCACTTACTACTCCATTTCCATGGAAAGGGTTCAAATGAAATGCATTTCTTAGTTCCACCAGTTCTCATTTTCACATCTAAGAGCTGCAATACCATGCCTGTTGTAGCAAACCACCCTCATTCTCTTCATATTCCATTGGTAAGATATAAGCTTCACTCAAGCAGTTTCTTCCTATACTTTGTGGAAGTGACTCCCAAGAGGATGCTTCCCTAAACAATGCACTGTTGTTCAAGTCTAGGGGTAACTGTTACCTTCCCCACATATCACCATAAAATGGCCACATCATGTTGAAACACTGGTTCCCAGACAATCACCAAAGTTAATCAAAAAATATTGACAAAAATATGTCCCATAATAATTGCTACATTTAGTGTATGAAAATGTGTCTGCAATTGATCTTAGAACTATTATGAGACAACAGAATTCAATTGTTCTTTTGTTGACGTCAAATATAAGGTTCAAGCATCATGGGTTTTCTTTAGATTCTTTAAATGTGCATGTAGTGTAGCAGTAATAGGATCAGAAAGTGGGATTTGGATGTAGATTTCAAATTCTAGCTACTGTCATTGCATTCACCTTCACACAAAAGCTACGACTTAAATAGCAGAACAGTCTTGGCTCTCTAGCTTTAGTTGCCAACCATTGATACTTCTGAATTCAAACTAATTGGATGTGGTAACTCCACTCCTTAAAAAGGAATAAAAACAAAGCTTACTTTTTAGAGAAATGAAAGCAAAACTAATGTGGTGAGGCTGTGACCATCACATGCAATTAGAAGAATTTTTTCTTTTTTTTTTTCAGATTATGTAGGCTTTATCAAGAAATGCATGAAGCAGATGCAAGGTTCACAGTACAAGCAAATCAAGAAAGTTGACCTCTCCATGCAGCAATTGAACAAAGATAATGCCCCTCTCAGTCCAGGTAAGTCCAATTTTCAGTACCATCAGCCTCAAAAAAAAAAAATGAAAAAGAAACCATTACTTTATATTTTGCATTTTTATATTTATTTTCTTTTATGATGGATTTGTCAGAAAAAAAAAAGAATTACTGTAATTAACTACAATTAAAGTGCAAAAAGAATCTTTTATTTTCTGAATTGTCATTTCTATTTATTGACTTGTGTTGGTGACCAATGACCATTTTATAAAATAATTTTCTAAGATTCAAAACTGTATCCATGACTTTATATAGAGATTGTTAAGTCATTCAATCAGCTTGTAGATGTGTCATTAGGATATGTTGGTTGCGTGACAGTTATTGTAGAAAATGGAATTGACAAGTAGAGTTCAATGTGTAGTCAATGCTGTTACATATACTTTGCACTTATGCCTTTGGAAAAGGTAAAAAAAAAAAAAAGGTTGTGTGTAAAATAAGTAGACTGGGTTCTTTAGCCTTGATAGAGTAACCAGTCTAGGAAAAGTATGGAAAGCAATGGAAAAAAAAAAATTCTACTTTTCCTAAAAACAAAGATATTCAGATATTAAAAAAGGTAGTTATGTAAAGCCATGATTGCCTACTGTGAGAAAGGAATATTACAAAAGGGAGGAGGGAGGTTATATTAAATAATGAATGATTCTAGATTTTTTCTACTTCAACTTAGTCTTGATGGTTTGTTATTTTTAAATGAAATAGTTTGCTTATTTTGAATATATTTGAGAATAAGATTGTTAGATTGTTAGATGCTGTATTCTTCAAAAGTTTAAATGCAGTGACAATCATCATCTTCTGTCTCCTTGAATTCTGTTCTTTTATTTTCCTCTGTGTTTCTTTCATTCTCAGTAATCCTTTGCATCCTAGATTTTCCTACCTATGTTTTGTGATTGCCAATACAACTATAGTAAGGCCGTTGAACAATACTAGTGTCAGATGCCTTTGAATAATCTTGCACTAATAGTACTTGCTCGATAATAATCGCTTGGAAAGTAACCTCCAAATAGTAATCTGTGTAGTGATCTGAATAGAGAAACAGTATAGTAATAGAGGATAGAATAGAAATGCAGATTTGTATAGTATAGAGGATAGAATAGAAATGCAGATTTGTATAGTATAGAGGATAGAATAGAAATGCAGATTTGTATAGTATAGAGGATAGACTAGAAATGCGATCTGAATAGTATAGAGGATAGACTAAGAATAGCGATCGTTAGACATCAGCTACTTCCTACATATATGCTTTTCCTCTATGGTCACATGGTTTACTTAATTCAATAATGGGATCGCCTGTGTTTGTTCTTTGGTGATCTATGTTCAAACTCAAGTGTTGACAGCAACATTTTATTCCTATATAACACTATGCATTGGTTACGTCTTTTGTGTTTCCTGTATCTTTTTAATTGAACTAATAAATTATGTTTTTTTTGTAAATTGACCTTGTAAAATTTTGGGATTTTTTTTTTAATTGCCTCAGTAAAGTATTTGTTGTTTTTGTTAAATTGCTCTAGAGAATTTGTCACTCACAGGATACATTGAACTCAAGAGAGGCTAAGGGAAACAGTGAATAACCTACCTTACAAGCTTGTGTAAATGGATAGCAGAACAGGGAATGGGAGAGACAATAAAGGAACAAATATTCCTTAGAGATATGAAGACTTGGAAGTTGTAGAAAGCCATGATTGCTTGCATAATGAAGGGGCATGATACATAGTAGAAGGAAAAATTAAGTTTAAATCAACAATCTGAAATTGAGTTGTGATCAAGACAATACATACAGGTATCACCTTGAGAGTTTCTCTAAACACCCTTCTCCTTGTGTTCATCAGCAACAACCAATCATTTGGTACTTGAAGTACTTAAGAAATAGTAAGAGATTCATTGAATTAACCACAACATAAAAAAGAAAACTCATGACAAATGTTAAACAAAGATTATTTTATATTTACTGAGTGGAAAATTTGGCAATCTTTAACCTTCGCAAAAAAAATATGGTGTTTCAAAAGGACAGTTTTTTCCTTGACACTGCTATTATCTTAACTACTTTATCTTTGGCAATGTTTATTGTTTTATATTTATTTCTTTATAAATTGATAAATGATAAATATTACATTGCATTAGTTTTAATTGTGTTAGTTTCTAGAATGTTACAAATATAAAATTATTTTTTAAATAAACAATGGAATAAATCCATAGTGTTTAATATTTTTGTTGTAAATTTTCAAGAACAAAAAAATGTATAAATTCGCTTTTATCCTATATTTTGATTTTATTATAATTCTAACCATTGCTTTTTTTAAAACAATAAACATTGCCAAGGATAGAAGGTAGTTAAAATAATAGCAGCATCAAAGGAAAAACTGTCCTTTTCACACACTATTTTTTTTTTTTTTTTTTTTTTTTTGTGAGTACAGAGATATTTATTGCTGAAAATTTAATCATGTGAATTTGATATAGATTTTCTGACCTCTGCTTATTACTTGTAAGTATCCACTATTATTTATATGGAAGAAATGGATATTCATTTTTACCACTCCAAATTCCCAAAGATGAAATACAGCAAACATTCAGCTTATGTCCACACTAACATGTGGGCAGGAGGAAATGATAAACGGATTTTGTTTAAATCAACCTAGAATGGCATTCCAGTTTGTCTTTGTCAATTTATTCCTGGATTGTAAATCCAATGGGACTGACAATTAATTTTTGGAGTGGTCAATATTGAAGGCTGGTATAAATGAGATGGTTGTAATTTGTCACTTTTATTGTGTAAGTGGATTGTTTTTCTTTGCTTGCAAGCAATAATACATCCATTTTATTGATAGATTTGGGAAAAAAAATTTTAAAGTTGGGTTGGGCAAACAAATGTTGGTTTTGTTTTATGTATATTGTTGACTGACAAGTTGCACAATAAATTAACTTGCCTTTTTATAATGAGGAATTATACCAGCTACTTCTTTGGGCAGTTAATTTCAACGTATCTTCACTTTACCAAATTTAGATTCTGTACCTTAAAAAAGAGGAGGCACAGTGGAGTAATGGATAGTGGCTTGGATTGAGAAATTGGAGAGTTGAGTTCAAATTCCAGTCGAATCCATTACATTCACTTACATGCTAATACCTTTGGGAAAGGTATGAATCCTCTTCTTCTCTCCCCACCTATGGGTAAGTAGCAGGACAAGCTTTGGATGGCAACTGGTCTACCGGAGAAATGAATTTGTAACCTACTGCAGGAAAAAATCTGCTTTGTCAGTCCTGTATTGAAAGATACATGATTGCCTAAGTGTGTATCACACATGGCACATAACTGTCTGAACTTTTTAAAAAAAAAAAAAAAAACACACAACCTGTTTAATGTAGGAAATAAGTGGGGAAACTGATTATGGAATGGTAAAAAGAGTGTAAGACAAGGCTGTTTCTTCTCACTGGACTTATTCAACCTATACAGTGAGACAGTTCTTAGAGAATTAGAAGTCCTACCAGGATTCATTACTGGCAGCCACAATCTTAATAATGTAAGATATACAGATGACATAGCATTGATAGCAAACACAAAGGAAACTACAAAAACTCCTACAGAAGGTAGCGAAGGAAAGCGAGAAGAACGGATTAAGCATCAGCTGCAGGAAGACAGAATGTAAATCATAAATTGGAGATACCAAAATCAAACAAGTACAAAAATTAACGTGTCTGGGAAGTGTTTTAACAGAGGATGGAAAGTGTGACACTGAAATCCAAAGGCATATCGGGATAGCCAAAGATTCATTCCAAAATCTAAGCAGAGTATTAACAAAAAGGCTTCATTAGAAACAAAGAAGACTACTGAACTATTATGTGATATCTATCCTCCAAAATGGCAGTTAATTCTAGACAATCTCTCCACAGATTAAAAAGAGACTTGAAGCAAGAGAAATGTGGTTCTACAGAATGATGCTGAGGATATTATGAACTGAACATGTGAACAACAACAAAGTTTTAGAGAATATGGAAACAAAAAGAAAACTTGGACTTACCATCAGAATGAGAAAGGTGAAATTTCTAGGGTGTATAATGAGGAAAGAGGGCTTGTAAAATTTGATACTCACAGGAAAGATTGAAGGCAAGGTGGATATAGGAAAACATAGTGAGCTTGAGTAAATGGATGGAAGAACAAGGTTTAGTAGAAATAACAAAAAGACAAAATTTATAAGGATCTATGGAGGACAGGAAATTGTGGAGAGCCATGATCGCCTATGTTCTGAAAGAACATGGTACATAGAGAAGAATAAATCTGAGCTGTATTATTGAGTTAATATATACTCTCCCTTAGCTATTCATCCGAAGTGATGGTGATGGTTCCTTTCATTGAATAATCTGGGAAGGGAGTATTCTGGAGTGGCTATACAGACTTATCTTTGACAGACACTACTTGCTACACATTTGACAGCTGATGCCTAGTCTGATTGCAGGAAGGGTAGAGGTGTTTTGTTGTGATACCTGAGCTTGTTTTCTTAAGTATCTAGACTGATAGTCTAGGATCAACATCTCCCATGTTAATAGGTCAATGTCAACTTTCCTGAGATTTCCATTCGGAATATTTTGTACTGGAGATGCTAACCTCTGAATAACATATTTTTGAGGAAATCTTCAATCACACATTCTCACTATAGTCCATGTACAGTGCAGCTGTCTATAAAATTGTGATAACTTAACTAGTATTTTGGCTCAAGAGAGGAAATATATATTATTATTATGCATGAATATATGAATCATGGACTGAGCGTGTGAGCAACAATGAGGTCTTAGAGAGGATGCAAACAATGAAGAGACTTATACTTAACATCAGGAGAGGCAGCTGAAGTTTTTGGGACACATAATGAGGAAGGAGGGCCTGGAGAATCTGATACTCATGGGTCGAATAGAGGGAAAAGAAACAAGGGAAAGCAGTGTGTGAAACACCTGGCAAGCTTGAGCAGGCAGATGACAGAATATGGTCTGGGGAGGAAGCAGAG